GCTTTCCTGAAGTCAAGGACTTCAGTGTTGCTGACTGACTTGCCAGCTTTACGGTGGATGGTGAAAGTGATCTGCTCATGGTTGCTGTCAACCAGCTTCCCATCGATCATTAGGTCGCCGATTAGGTCATCCCCAGTAGCCAGTACCAAGTTGAGCAGCACTTTACCTCTCATTGGCCCATAGACTTCTTGAGTCAGGTAGAGGTCATCCACGTGTGATAGGAAACTTTACGACCACTTGGATTTTGCTAAGTGATCTTCCCACAAGATGTCTGGGTAGCTGAAGTCACCCATGACAACCATGGTCCTGGAGCATGCGGCCTCAGCCAGTTCCCTGGTGAACTCCTGGTCAAGCTCAGGACTTTGGGTGGGAGGTCTACAGTAGACTCCCAACACTGTGTCCCCTGTGTCGTGTTCCCCACGGATTTTAACCAAGAGGGTCTCCACCCATCCACCCTGGTCGCCAACATCACCTTGCAGGGATGCATAGCTTTCCTTAACATAGAGAGCTACACCCCCACCCCTTTTGTCTACTCGATCCCTCCTGTACAGTTTATAGCCATCTGTACCCATGGTCCAGTCATGGGTGGAGTCCCACCAGGTCTCCGTTATCCCTATGATGTCGTAATAATTTGTGTTAAGCAGAAGGATAAGTTCCTCCTGCTTATTCCCCAAGCTCCTGGCATTCGTGTACAGGCAGGCAAGTGTCCCCTTGGGGGCTCTTGCCTCGCCCACAGATTGTTCCAGGGCTGGGGCAGGGGTGGGCTCCCTTAAGTGCCTTGGCCTGCTGGCTTTGCTAGGGTTGCTCAGCAGGCCAGCAGTGGTGGTAGTTCCCCTGTCCGCCAGCGGGATTAGTTTAAAGCCAGGTGGAGCAGGTCAGCCGGTCTGGCTGAGAAGAGCTTCATCCCCCGCAGAGAGAGGTGGAGGCTGTCCCTTCCTAGCAGCTCACTGGCTCTCTCACCAAAGAGCAGGTTGTGGTCATGGAAGCCAAAGTCTTCCTGATGACACCAGTGCCACAGTCTTTGGTTAACCACCTGGATTCTCCTCTCCCTCCTCAGCCCATTGCCTGAGACTGGGAGGATCGAAGTGAACACCACCTGTGCCCCCAGACCCTTTAGCCCCGCTCCCAAATCCCTGTAGTGCCTCATGACCTGGCTGGGAGTGCTCTGAGCTGTGTCATAGGTGCCCACATGAATAAGGAGCATGGGGTAGTGGTCTGTGGGCTGGAGGAGCTTAGGGATCTTCTCTGCTGTGTCTCGGATGCAGGCCTCTGGGAAGCAGCAGACTTCCCAGGCTAAGGGGTCAGGGCGGCAGATTGCCCCTCACTTCCCCTCAGGATGGAGTCTCCCACAACAAACACTTTGCGTTTTGTCTTGGGGAGAGCAGGGGCGGTAGCTGCAGTAGAGCCCATGTGGCCTGTGGGAGCTGGCAGCTTAGCAGGCTCTGCTGGGCCTGCAAGAGGTTCATACCTGTTGCAAAGCTCCAGCGGGACAGGGGCCTTTGTGCAGCGGGCCTTGGGGCCCTTGACCACCTTGGTCCAACCCCCTGATTGGACAGAATGGGAGGTCCTCAAGTCCTCCCTTGTCCTGGAGGGAGACCGTGGTCTACCCTACGTCTCCCGGGGGAGAAGGGCCTGGCAGCAGGAGTTGATCTCCTGCTCGCAGTCCTGATGGCACGCAGTTTCTGGACTGCGGCCTGGAGCTCCTCCAGCTGCTGCGCCAGAGACCCCAATAGGGAGCAGACCCCACAAGGGGAGGTAGCCATGCTTCCAGACTCAGAGCCTGAAAAAGCAACAGGCAACCCCCACAGCCAAGAGCCAGGGGCTCCGTCTGCGTGGAGCCCGGGAGCGTGGGCTCCGTTTGGGTGGCCGTCTCCGAGGTGCTGGTGGGGACCGCAGACCCTGGGGGGACCCAAGGGGTGCGACAAGTGCCCATCCGCGGCATGCCGCTGGTAGGCGGGCTGGGCCTGAGTCTGCCTACCCTAACGCGAACTCTGCGCTAACTCATGCGCCCTATAGACAAGAGCACCTGTTTGCGCAGCCTGGTCGCGCGGCTCCCTGGGGGGCTGGGTGGAGTAGGGACCTGGGCGGAGCGAGACCTGGCCCAGCTCCCACTCAGCCGCCTCCTCCCACTCTCTAGGGGTTAACCCCCTCCCACCACGGGCCCAACTTACCTCCGACTATGCTGGGGGTCGGCCGGGGGCTCCGCAGCTGCTGGGGAGGATCTCTGGGGGGCTTCAGGGGAGTGGGGGCGCAGCGGACTTTCACCCGCGTGTCTCTTGCCACTCCTGCAGCGTAACTGAATCCACAGGAGACTTGCAGAAGTCAGCCCTCCCTCCCCCTCAGCGCCCCTGCTCGTTCTGCCTTCGCTCCCCCTCCCCAGTCTGTGGGCCCACTGCCATGGGGGACACCTGACTGCTGGCAATGTCAATGAGAAGAGGATGCTTCTGTACAACTCTTCTGGCACAGCCTACGAATCCAGTCCTGAAGCGGTGCTTTATAAGGCAAGTAATACTCACAGACGTCGAGGCTTTGACGGTCGTGGGACATCTTCCTCTGTGTCCTCCTCCAGCTCCCCAGCTGCAAATTCACAGGCCCATAGATGAAGATATTCCAGGTTCTGGCAGTTCTTTAGACAGAATGCAAGTGCGACTTGATCCAGCCTGGTAAATGTATAACCCCATAGACGCAGGGCAGTGAAATGACTCAGTGCATTTTGCACAAAACTTTTCTCTCTTATTTCATACAAACAGTGAAAGTCCTCAAGCTGGGAAGCTGTTTGAACATTACCACCATTAAAGCGTGGCAGTGGTGTATCAGACTCTGAGAATGCTGTTTTAATCCATTTCTGTAATTCTGGTTTAATTTTCAATGAAATTTGGCAGTTAAGGATTCTCTCAAAGTCCTTCTTTCTCTCTTCATTTAGGAGACCAAAAAGAAATCGCACGGTTAATATTAAATAATTTTTTGATTTTTCATAGTCAGCTAACAAGGTTTTCAAATCTTTTATGTCATTTCCTGAGTCTCTGCCTGTTCTTTCTTCTTCATTCTTTAGAGCATAAAACAAGGCTGCAAAAAGCTCTTGAAAAGACACATGAATGAAGCTGTAGAGACATTCACACTTGGTGGCTTTTCGAAAGAGGATCTCATTCAGAAAGTGTGAGTCAGATGCATCTAAGCCGTGTTTCTTGAACTCTTCAGCCTCAAACAGGATCTTCTGCTTGCAGATTCCCTCTGCAGCCAAGGAGCAGAGTCCCTTCAAGTTGGTTTGTACTGCTGGCTTTGGATGTCGGTCACAACGTGGCAACAGATTGTCAAGATGGTGCAGGTAGACTCCTGTGATTGTTTCTGAACTCTGTGCAAGATCTTCACCTTCATCCATCTGTTGCTCTAGGACAGTGCAGATGATCCAGCACACCATGGGGACAGAGCACATGGTGAAGATCATTTCATTTTCTCTTGCAAAATTAAAGGCTCTTCTTGCTCTCTTTTTCTTCCCAAAATATTTGTCAAAGTATTTTCTCCTCTCAGTTTCTGAAAAACCCAGTATTTTTACACAGCGCTCATTTTCCAACAACTCATTCAGCTTCTCTAAGGCAGCTGGTCTTGTGGTAATGAGTAAGTAGGATTTCTGAAGCACTTTCTTCCTGAATAAACTGCTCAGTGTGATTTCCACTGCTTTCTTCTCATGGGGATCAGAACACAGGTTGTCTTTTGGCTGATCCAAGGAAAATCTCAGTTCATCAAACCCATCAACTATAAACAGGATTTTGTCTGGATTCACCAAAATCTCTGCCATTGGTGCACGTTCATCAGGACAGTTTGTTAAGATCAAATCCTTGAGACTTCTCTGCTCGCTGCCTAACATAAATTCCCTACAATGTATGTAGAAAACTTAATCAAACTTATTCTGATAAAGCTCTCCAGATGCCCAGTCAAACATGATCTTTCTTGCGGTCATTGTTTTTCCAGTCCCTGCAGCTCCCAACAGCACCACAATTCGCAGAGTTTCTCCCTTTTCATCACCTGCAAATAAGTCACTGAGGGTGAAGGATCTTCTTTGCTCAGTTGTTGTGCTTACAGGTTTCTCTCTCAGGGACATTATTTCATGTTGTTCTTTCTTTTTGGCACGTGGTTCCTGTACAATGTCCAGTTTTGTGTATCTGCTGCTTAGATGAACCATCTCACCAAGAAGAGAGTTCCTGTCTTTTATGTATATGTATTTGTCCTGGATATATTCAGTATACACATTCCTGTAACCTGGGTTAGAGACATAAAATATTATATACCCTGCAGTAGAAGTTGAAGGGAATTAAAGACAAGAAAGCAGTCATTATTAATGTTGCAACTTTAACAGACATAATGCGTCCTTAAATTTGTATTGCCCTTTTCCTTATCAAATACCCCAGTCACCTGGCTATAGGCCTTGTCTTGTAGTCCATCCTTAAATCAATAGCGCCACTAACATTAGACTGTAAGTAAAAAAATGCCCAGTGCACATAACCAGACATCTCTATAATAATTACTAAAATGCACTCACTTCCGCGGTGACAACTGTCAGCACAGGGCACAGCAGCACTACATGGTGCTTAACGTTACGGAGTGAGAAGGAGCTTTATAGGCGATAGTTACCGTTTGAGGAAGGTGTAGGAAACGGAGGTCTGGCTGACAGTATCGTATCATACTTCCCTGGGGTGGGTAAAGCTGATCCTGGCCCCCGCTTCCCCATCTGGCACTTGGCACCTCCATCCTTGCCCCTGCAGGGTGTTGCTCAGGGCACAGACTTTGCTCATGGACACATCTGGGAAGCACAAGTTGCTGGAAGGGTTGTGCAATTGTCTGCCCTGCCAGGGCTGCAGCAGGGCCCTGCCTGCCCCCGTCCTTGCTGGCTGCCCCGGGGTGCACTAACGCAGCTGCCTGAGCCGAGCGCCTAGTCCCATGGGTCCCCCTGAAAAAGAGAAACCTCCGCAGAGCTCCCCCGGCCTTTGTACCCCGCTCCCAGCAAGGTGTGCACGGGCACTGTGTTCCCACCCCAGCTGGGCCAGGCCCTGCAGCAGCGCAACCCTCGCTGCGCACCTGTGGCCGAGGCGCTGCGAGCGCCGGACCGGGCGCCGGATCAGGCGCAGGATCAGGTCCAGAGCCCCGTGGGGGTGGTGCTGCAGCAGCAGGTCGGTGGTGCGGGGCCGGAAGGCGGGGGCCAGGGCTGCCCACGGCACGTGGGGCTCAGGGCACGAGTGCCGCAGCAGGAACTTGACCCGCTCGAACTGCTGCTTGTCCAGCTCGTCCAGCACCAGCAGCAGCTGCTAGGTCATGGTGCCTCACGGGGCTGGGCGCCGGCACGACACGGAGGGGGCATGGAGCGCTGCGGGGCCCGGTGCTCGACGCTGCACGGAGGCCACCGCGCGGACGCGATCTGAGGCCGGGTCGGGTCGGGTCAGGCCAGGGAAGCGGGCGGAGGCAGAGCCGGGCTGGAGCTGCTTTCACTTTCACTTCCGCTTTGCTCATAGCCCAACCCTGGCTCCAGATCCCAGCCTTCTGCCCCGCTGCCTCTACCCAGCCATTCAGCTACCTGCAGGGCCCAGCTCCAGGGGGAAGTGCCAGCAGGCCTAGGCCTGGCTGCGGGAGACGCTCCTCACTTCAGGCTTCCTCGGTGCCCGGCGCCAGGTGCCTGCTAGGCCCTGCATTGCCCGGGCGGCAGCAGACCACGGGCTTGCGGGTGGACTCGCAGGCGGCTCCATCCACTCCATTCGCTGAGCTCACAGTTAACCCCGAGTGCGGGGGCAAGTGCCTGCCGGGCCCGGCCGCCCCCAGCCACCTAGGGCAGGGCCTCGGGGCTGGGCACACACTTCCCGGAGACTCCAGGAGGGAGCAGCAGGCGGCAGGCACCAAGGGGTGGCCTGCGCAACTGGATATGCTCAAGATTGCCAAACCGGGTGGGCGGCAAAAAGGAGCTGTCCTGCCGAGGGCCGTGCCCACGGGCCACCCAGGGCAGAGCCAGCACAGCCTGGGAGCTGCGCCTCCCGCCCTGGGCATCTGGGAAGCTTGCAGCCTCTTGGGGGAAGCTGCTGTGTCCTTGTCCACTGCAGGAGCAACAGCTGTTCCGGCCTGGGAGGGAGCCCTTGCAGGGAAAAGAAGGGGCCTGCTGTCAGGAGTGGGACTCGAACCCACGCCTCCAGGGGAGACTGCGACCTAAACACAGCGCCTTCGACCGCTCGGCCATCCTGACAGGCAGGGGTGGCTCCTGGCCGCGCCCTTCAGCCCAGCACCCTCTTTCCGGGCCCACGCGCTGGGTTCCTTGCAGCCCCGAGCCCGGGCGGAGAGTGCCCCAGCGGCCATGAGGTCTCTTGAGGAAGCCAGGAGGCCCGCCAGCAACTGGGGCTGCCTGGCGCGGAACTGC